TTCAACGAATATACTGACGAGGGTTAATATTATTTTTTCTTTGAAAAATTATATAAGAGAATAAGTATATATTTATATATATATATATTTAATATTGTGGTCTATGGGTGATCCAAAATTTTTTTATAACATTACTTCACTAATATATGCTACTACATGCATAGACATATATATAAGTGGTACTTAATTTGTTAAAGGAAACCATATCTTGTTTTTTCACAAAATGAAAGAATCTCATTGCAGGTGCTGACAACCCAGGAAAAGGAGAAAAATAAGAGAATGGTTTTGGACATAATGAAAGAATCCAGAGAACAAAGAGGAAACTGGTATGAAAAAGATGTGAAAGATCTCGACATGAATGAAACCAACCATCTGATATCTGCTCTTCAAGATGTGAAAAAGAAACTGGTAAGTGAAATGTCTCAACAATATTCTCAAGTAAATGTTTCTCAGAATTACTTCGGCCAAAGTTCTGGCTTTATTGGTGGTCCTAATGTTGATGTTGGCATTGATCTTTTTGATCAAAGAAGAAATACATTCAACTATAATCCAAACATGGCGGTGTTTCCTAACCATACACCAATGTTTGGATACAACAATGATGGAGTTATCGTTCCGATATCCAACATGAACTATATGTCAAGTTACAACTTCAACCAGAGCTAGAGCCTGAAGCTAGAAGAACATCCTAATCAATATTTGCGTTATTTTGGATATGGTTACTGTTAGGATTGTTCTTGTATTGTGAGACTTAAGTTATTTTTTTTTTCTTCTTTACTTTGTTTCAGTTTGTTGATTTTTCCTTTTCGTCGTTTGTTTTTCTTTGTTTTTAGGATATTTTGAGACCAGAATAAATTTATTTATCCTTTAATTATACATTTTTAATATTTTTTTGCTATTTAAGCTTGATGTTATATAGTGAAATCAAACCAAATTTACAAATGAACAATACAATATTTTAAGAAACCCAAATCAGACAGAAATGAATATAATTTTAATAACGAGAATTGTTCATATGTAAGACTTCAACTAAGATTCTGCAGAAAATCTTTAAAATAACTCATGTTTTTAATCTAAAAAATCAATTTTAGCACTAATTTTAAAACAATCAGATTTCTTTATGTTGAATAAGTAAACGACATGTATAATCAAAATCCAAGTGCCTAAGAGAAGAGTAATGGTTGAAAACCTTCAGAAGCAAGCCTAAGCCTTTGGTGATGTTCTTCAACCTTATATTCAACAATCTCTTTGAAAAGCTGTGAATCCAATACACAATCCTCTCGTCCGTACACTCCAGCTTGTACTCCAGCCACAAGCTTTGCAATTTCACGGCCAGAGAATCCTTCCGTCTTCTTTGCAGCCTCAGAAATCACTTTATCAGTTAGGTCTGCTTCAACGGTAATCTTCTGTGACAGCTTCTTAAACAAATGACTCCATTTCGGTTTTGTGTCTTTGTTGTTGTCACCCCTCTTTAGATATTTGTTGAGATAGAGATTGAGAAGCTTGAAACGTTCTTCTTCCCCTGGAAGTGGGAACTCAATGACTTCATCAATCCTGTCTGTAACCGCACTATCGAGATCTCCAGGTCTGTTTGTAGCCAAGACAAGAACAATGTCCCGAGATTGATCACCGGTTCGGAAGAGCAAAGCATTCAGAGCACTACGTTGAGCCTCACTCATGTAAGTGCTGTTACGCCTGCAAAGAAAAAGAAATCATCTTTCTTTAAACCCAGAGAAAAAGTTGCAATCTTTTTGTCATTTTATTGTCAAAAACCTAAAACGCTAAAACAACGACTAATCCTTGTTGGATATCCTGACATAATGCAGCTCAAACGGCCACTGAGTGGATTATCAAAGGATTGTAGAAAAGAGGAGAGGGAGATCTTACTCGCATAGAAAAGCATCGGCTTCATCAATGAAAAGAAGTAAGCCTTTGTTCGATTTCTTGGCCCAATCAAATATCTGATGGATTTTAGTAACAGCTTGTGATCCCAAGGGAGCAACATCTCCACCTGTCATCATAGCATAATCCAGACCCTGCAACAAATAATTGTATCTAAGAACTCATAGAGACGGAATTAACAAAGCTACTACCATAGTTTTGATAATAACTCACCGATTTTCGAGCTATTTCCCTTGCGACCATAGTTTTACCGGTACCAGGAGGTCCATAAAACATCATGTTGCGGAATGGTGCTTGATGGGATTTGGTATTTGCTGTAGCTCTAGCGAGATGCTCGATTCGTTTCTTCAAAGAAGTATGGAGAATTACATTATCAAGTGGCTTTTTCCCTTCTGCTGCAGATGCTGCTGCTGCACCTGAGATTCTGTTCTTCAATTGAGACATTGAGCCTGCCCATGGAAATCTACCCATAGAAGATTCTCGAATAAGTGATGGTTGTCCAAGCATCCTATTGACATAACCCCATGTAACTCTAGCACCTTCACTGTTAAATACAAAAGATTCAAGATATAGATTACATTAGACACAAAAGATTCAAGATATAGATTACATTAGACAATGATAAAAGAATCTAAGATCACTTGGGTCAAATCAGACTGGTTCCGAGAATCCCATTATATCCAATAGGTTATATAGTTCAGAGATGCATACCGAGTTGTATAAATCCCTGCAGCTAATGCAGTAGCTCCTCCAACAGTCATAATCAGCTTATTACGATCGGTTAATAAGGTCCTGAATCCCCCTGCCAATTTCATATGGTAGTAAGCAAAAGGAACAAAAAGAACTGATCTGTCCTTTTTCAAAATCAAAAGCAAGAAGATACAATTTTCTTGGTTTATCAGGTTTCCATACCTTCAATGTGACTGAACATGGTGTTGATTGCAGCAAGCCACTTCTCCCTTTCACCATTAATCCTTTCCATAAGCAATCTCCTGTTTTGCTCTTCAGTAAGTTTGGCTTCATGAGCCCGACCTTCAGCTTCAGCCATGGCCTTGACACGAATCGTCTCTCGCTCAAGTTCAGCTCTCTCTTTCTCAGTTTGGCGTTGCTGAGCTTGGATCTGTTCTTCTGTGGCGATTTTTGCCCTCTCTTTCCTGATAGAAGACGCCTCTTGCATCTTAACCAATTCCACATTATGATGTCTCTGAGCTTCATGATCTGTCTGCATTACTCCCAAACCAAAAACATTTGTCAGATCTTATACTTCAGAAAGATTTCATTCCATCTACGAGAACACATAAGAAAAAAAATAACCTGCTGTCTCTTTCTGGCTAATTCATCCTCATATCGCAGAATTTGCGCTTTGGTTTGCGCCTGTGTCTGCAAAAGATTTCTCTGGTCCTCAGCCAATTTCTGCTGTCTCTCCTGCCCATTTCCAATCCCCCATAAACCAAATCATATTATGATCATCATAAACTTTGCAGTCATATCAAAAAGTTTCCCTTGTTTAAAAATGGCAGCAAAATGAAACATTCAAGTTAAGCGTCAATGACTCACAATATCTCTGTGTGCTTGAATAGCTTCGTAATGAGAAGTCTCTGCCGCTAATTCAGCTAACCGAGTTTTCTCCTGCTTCCTCATGAGATCAAACACCTAATTGAAAAACCAAGAACCCAATAAGCTAAGAAGAAAACCCAATTCTGCAATCACCAAATGACCAATCTCCACAAATCAAAATCCAATTTTTGAGTTCAAATACCATTTTTGCTAAATTTCACTAAGAAAATTCCCTAAATAGATATGATTCGTCACCTGTTTGGAATGGGGAGAGCTATTGATATCTCTAAGAGCTTTTGCAGCTCTCTCAAGGGACTCAGGATCAAAACCCGATCCTTTAGGCTCATCAGCCTCTGGTTTAGACTTACTAGAGTTCGAAGAAGATTGATTCGCCGGAGAATCTGACGGAGGAGGAGAAGAAGAATAGAAAGGAAACCGGAATCGAGAATCGGCGTACGCACGGTTCTGAGACATTGACATTGAAGTGAACGCAGCAGCTATCGCCGCCGCGGAACACAATCTAGAAGCAGCCATGGATTTCGACAAGAAGAAAACAGTAACCCTTTTTCAGATATTGAGAAATAGAGCTAAAGGTTCATGAAAGTTGTGAAATTGACGGTGAATGATGGTCGATTTCTGGGTTTTTGCCGACCATAAACCCCACGGCGGTGGCTAGCTTTTAGGGTTTAAACGGTATTTTTTAGAATACATCAAATAAAATGATAATTAAATCTCGACCGTGTATAAGTTTACTTTGCGTGGAGAATAATCAAAAAGCAGATCTGGGCCTGTTATTGGGCCATGTTCTAAACAGATTAAAGTTTTTATTTAACTCGAACCACGACTAAACCATTGGCAGGAAGAAAATTTTGTGTAAAGTTAATTGTTTTAAAAAATGTTTGAAACTAGATTTTAACCCGCGGTACACCGCGGGGCTATATTTTCTTAAAAAAATCAAAATGTAATTTGTTTGATAGATTATTTTGATTGTTAATTTTAGGATTTCACCCGTGGTATACTATCTTTTATAAATATCAACCCAAACCCGTCCCATCATATTACCCGTCCCGTGAAATTAAACATCATTTAGTTATTTTTCTTTTTAATAATACTTTTATTTAAAAGCTATATAATTCAAGTCAATTTAAAAATTTCTTTTAAATGGTTCTCATAAGATATATATACATATATATTAAATTTGTATAGAGTTGAAATAATATTAATATTACAAACTTTTTATATAATTTAAATATTATAAATATTTTTAAAAATATGCAATATATATTTTTTGTTATTGAATAAGAGGATATTATGTGTAAGAAATGTAGAAAATAAGAGTTTAATATTTTTATTATGGAGTCGCAAGAAAAATCTTTTATTTCTATACATGTTATTCGTTTATTAATAATAAAAGAAAACAAATCCTTTAAATTAGATATTAACTAAAATAAACGCACCATAATTACTTATTAAGTAACAACCAATAAATTTCACCAAAAAATAGGTAACAACCAATAAATTCTAAACGCAGTAATTAAAGAATGAGATATTAAAAAAAAATATCAAATAAGATATAAGAATCTTAAAATAATTGAATATCTAAATAATTTAATTGTTAGTGTCGATTTTAATGCCTTCATTAATGTGGAGTTTTTTTTTACAGAGAAATATTTCCTAAAGATTATCACATTAATGACTCAGAAAATTAAGGAAGATATGAATTTATGATTCTCGAAATCGTGTTGGTAATATCTTTAATTAATATTTTTCAAATTTAAATAATTAATGCCAATGGCATTCATCCGTAAATACATTCCAACTCCAGGATTTATTTGCTAAAAGTCATCCAAAAATGTATATATAGATTTGCTAAGTTTTGTTCTCCACTCAGCAATGGAAGATATACATTATAGGATTCCGTTTGTTTAGATCACGGGTACGTAAGATTATTGTTCTTCAAATAATTATAAAATTAAAAGAAATTATTCCACAATCCACATTCAAATTATTAAAACTACCAAATTCTGAATTTTTTTGTTAGTATATTCTCGGAGGAATATCAAACAAAAACACTCCATTTGAGCTAGTGGATTATGGATATAAGGATTATTTGAATGTCCTTGCATATTTTATAAGTTTAAAATATTGGCTATATATTCTACTATTTTGTAATATTTTAAGCACAAATCTAATCCACTTAATTATAATATACAATTTAAACCAAACCAATTTTTTTTTAAAAAAAATTGTAATTCCTTAATTTAATTGAAATATGAAGTTAGAAGTTGAAATAAAAAAAATTATGCACTGTATAAAAAAAAATGTCCACAACCCTCATTTTAATCACTTTGACTATAAAATTATCTTTTGTTTAATGCTTAAAAAAAAAACCTTTTATCTAGTTCTATTTCAAACGACTCTAAACGCACTATTTTCTTTTAAATATAACATCTTAGCTAGTTTTATGGTTTTAGATTTCAAAATTATTATTTAAAAAACAAGTTTTAAATTTAAATTTATAGTTCTTCATTTTGGTTAGTATGGGTCGCTATTTTGTGCCAGGAATATATACAAGACTTGTGCTTTAAAATATTACAGAACAATGTCTCCCTTTTTCAGAAAAAAAAAACATATAGTACTTGCTTTTTTCTTTTCTTAAACGAATTGGAATTGTAATTATTAAAATGGACGGTATAAATCCAATTCTCCGTGGAAGCCCACTTGGCTCATTGGTTGAACAAGGGTTAATTAATGCTTCTACACCGAGAGGTCTGAGGTTCGAGTCCCAGATACTGCAATTTATTAATAAATTTGTAGATTATTTGAGGCAAGTGTGCAGGAGATCTCCAGCGATGTACAATTATAGACGTTCGCCAGGATTCTACGCAGAGAGGGAAGTGTCCATCAAGAGCATAAAGAAGAAGGTGAGTATGAAGAAGAAGGTGAAGAAGGTGTCTTCTATCGTAGATCTAATAATAGTCGGAAGGAATTGTCCGTTGTAGAATCGTCTATGTAACAGTTCTCATAATTTGCAATAAATAATAAATCCAGACGTTAAAAAAAAAAAATCCAATTCTCGGTCGTGGTTCATATATGGGTAGCAATTTTGCCGTAGACAAGGCATGTGCTCTAAATTAATATTACAGAATATATATACCCCTGATCTTCTTTTCTTTTAGAAAGGTATATATACGTAATATATTACTTGTATTTTTTTTTAGGCACAAACGAATAATACTCGAGATGAATCAAATTGACAAAAAGTTTATAGCTCAATACGGGACCTCTCGTTTTGACTTTCTTCAATTTGAGTACTAAAAAGCTTTTGCAAAAATGCCACTTTTTCAATGCCACTTTTCAAAAATACCCATTTTTAAAAACCTTATAAAAAATGCTCTTAAAAATATAAGATTTACCCAAATATGTATGTAATATTATTAAAACATACACAAATTACATTTCTATGTATCTAAAACTTTATAAATACTTTATAAATACCTTATAAATGCATTTTAAATACCTTTAAAAACCTTTAAAATATCTTGTAAAACCTTTGAAAAACTTTAAAAATCCTTTAAAAAACTTGTAAACCTTTAAAAACACCTTATAAAACCTTATAATACTTGG